ATCACTGGCACTAGACTTAGAGACTTTTATTTTCTCCTACAAGCCTCGTAAGGTAAGGGATTATTCAGCTGGTTGCAATCTGCAATTCACTGCAACAACTGTGAGATGCTACATTAAATCACCAGAGAACAAAAGTCCAAATTGAAAGTATGAACAGTCATAAAAAGCTTTCCCATGGAATTATTTCAGTCATTAGTATTATATTATATAGTATTATATATATAGTAGACACATTTATTTTTAAGTGTATTTATATTTGTACAATTTAAAACAAAAACAACACTTAAATCCAGGTTAAAATACACACATGTAGAAAATCCCGAGCAAAATAACTAAATTAAAGCTGTGGAAAGAAATTCATGCATTTAAAGTGCCTGACAATAGACATTTTTTATCAGCCAGGGCCACACTTAAGGCTTCCATTTTATGCAGCAGAACCTTTTCCAGTGACAAACATGCACAATAGCACCGCACCCTGAACTCTGTTTGATCTGAACAGAACGGCTCTAATTAGTAGTCATTAGGTAAACACCTGTGTTTACCCTACTATTTTCATGTCAAACTGACTGCCGCTGAAAAAAGTTTACTGCCTTAATCATCCCATTAAGCTTCACCCAGACACCCCCTCTAATTCCCTAAATGTGTTTTTTATAGCCCCTTAACTTTCCCAGCTAAAGGATGTCAGTGGAAAGCACAGCTCTGTAGATACAAAAGTCACACACTATCAAGTATACATCCATGTTGATCCCGGAAGTGTTTGTGGAAACATACAGGAGGATCCGCTCCCTCTGTAGATAAAAACGTCTCATTCTAAGGTAACAAAAACGTATACAGCAACATTCTCTTAACTCATATTTTCTCTTATATGAGAGAAATTATAAGAGAAATATGCTATTAGCAATGATAACGCCCTTTTAGATACTATCAAAGGCGCCAAATTGTTTGATGTCTAAGAGCTGCTCCCTGGTGTAGGCCATGGCTTGCCTGGCAGTGAGCCACTCTGAGCAAACATAACCCAAAAGCAGTTCCTTTTGCAGTCCATTTGCACATCATTCCCCTGTTGCTGCTGCTTCTTAAAACGTCCTTAAATCTGTGACACTTCACAACAACTTAGTATAATCACTAACAAAAAGTGACCCTACTTCAGTATCCAAGCCAAGCTACGTTTGTGTGTGTGTTGTTGGTTGAAAGTGCACGATGCTAACAGAGTCCTCGCACTATTAAAATGGCTCCAGATAGCTGATAGAGTTGACATTGGTATCACAAGTATACGATGTTGCAGATTCCAAACATCACAATACATGGAGAATATTTTGAAGCAATGAGCATGAGTAGCTCCTGCCAACTCAACAGACTGGAGCTATTGTTATTTTATTACATTCCTCTGTGGACAAATAAGGGATATGTCGTGAATGACAAAGGCAACAAATGGACAGGGCTCAATTTTTCAGTATTTTTCCAAAAATAAATTATTCACATATTCAGAACCTGGTTTTCACTTCCTGTCTGTGCAAGACAGAGGAAAAACTAGGCACAGATGAACTGATGTGTTCTTATTAGTTTTAATTTTGTCCCTGGATCTTGCAAACCAACCAAGGGGCAGCAGAACGTCTCACACAAAACTAACTCCTCAGGCTAGGTGAGCATTGGTAATGATGAAAATCTTGGTAGGAATCAAAATTATATGATCACTTATGATCAGAATACGTTTCTAAGCCAAATAAGTCATTAAGTCAGAACACAGATGGATGCATAAATTCACAGTTTTCCTGTGTTTTATTCGAGTTTTGCTTTTTTCATTAGTTTTTATTTTATTTCATTTTGAATGTTTGTTTTGAATTTAGTTTAGTTTCAGTTTGGTTGATGAGGAGGATGGTGCATTACAGGGAGTAGTTGAAAATGCTGTTCAAAAAGGGAATTTATCAAAGGCTCAATGCCCTTAATTGTTTCCTGGTCATTGTTTTATACATATTGTTTATATGTTTGGCAACAGTGCGAATGCTTTTAAAGTCACTTTGTGGAGGAGCTGAGGAAAGCAACATGATTTTTGTGTCTTACCCAAAATGATACTGGAACCTCTGTCAACTCTAAAGGAGGTAGCTAATGTCATTTTGGAACAGTTATAAAATGATTAAGTAAAGTGTGATATGAATCTGATTATTTTCATGTAGGACATTTACTTGTAATGAATATTTGTACATTGTTCTATTCACTCAGCTGTGCTGCTGCGAGGCTGTGAATCAGCCCAAGAATGTAATGTTGTTTTTCAGTGGGCTTACATAGCTTGTGTTTATCAGCTCTACTATTGCATTTATAATCTGCAGTCTTTATCTCGATTTTTGACTCTTACCCCAAAATGATACCATATCTTACATACTGATCAGCAGCAATGGATGAATGATGGAAAACAAAACAGATGAACACATAACAGATGCGGTCCTGCTCTCCAAGGTTTCTGAAAATTCTATTAGATTAAGTAAGAATGATCAAAAGTCACCCAAATTATACTATGATAATATTCCATGAATTAAATTAAAGAAGTAAATCTCTAGACTGAATTTCTATATGGTGAAAATGTTTCATAATTTATGTTGTTTTATGATTTACTATGTTTATGAATAGAGAGCGTGAACTGAGTTACATGAACAAAAAATCCACAATGTTTTCAGAAATCTTTCCCATTTAATTGTAGAAATTTAAAATTAAATTAGGTTATACTTTCGATTTGGTGCACAATCTAAAAAGAAAGCATTGCTTAAATTTTTATAAAGGGTGTGGGAATGTGTTTGACATATTTTTCAAGTAATAGAAGATAAGGTGAGTCTCTGAATGGTTACGCAATGTGATGGTAACACACCTGATCCCCAAGGTTTCCTTGTCTGCAACACCTGTACAGTATATAAAGAGCTGCATGAAGTGTAGTATCACCCTCCAGCAAAACTCATCTACAGCGTTCACCTGTTCATCATGATGAAGCTGATCCTTTCTCTGACTCTCATCTGGACGCTCTCCAGCACAGGTAACTCCACTTCTGTGTAGAGCACATTTGGAGAAACTTTAATCTTATACCAGAACTGTTTAAAGAAAGGATTTTAATATATATTATAAGCAGACAAAAACATTCTAAAACATAAGTAAAGAACATGAACACATTATATAAATTATAATACTTAGTAGGGATATATAATGATACACTTACTCAACTCACAATTCAATACGATTTACGATACTGGATTCAGATATGATTTGCTCACAAATTTTTTAATGAAATGAGATTGAAGACTATAAAAAAATAATTATACTTGAGCATTGTGTAGGAAGCTGTGTGTGCAAATATGTTTGTCTACTGCATTTTATACACATTACAACCCTTGTGTTTTTTGCAATGCTTTTCCAACAATAACTTCTAACCTTTATAGACCACAAAAACCCTGTAACCCTGACCTCAGACATTTGATTTGACATCTGGTGTGTGATCATCTTATCAACTGTTTGTCTACCCTCTGCAGCTGGAGCACTTCAGTGTCAAACTTGCATAAATCAGCAGTGTTTAAGCCCGGTATCATTTAAATGTTTCACAGCGACAGAGTTGTGTATATCAGTTTCCATTCAAGGTAGTCATTTCATCTATTGCTTTTCAGTGAAATACATTTCCTGTAAAGTTGTGTTCTCTTCATCAACATTAACAAAAACATTAACTGTATTTTGATTTTGTAGCCACTTTATTTGGAACCCCAGCCCAGCAAACCTTAAAGGCTTGTGCACCGCCCTCCCTGTGTCCGGCCACAGGCTTTCAGAATATTTCAGCCAACTTGGGTTTTGTGAATGGAGTTGCATCTGTTCGGTGCTGCAACACGGATAACTGCAACATGAAACAACTCCAGGCTTGTAAGTACACCTTACACAAGTGACTCAATTGAGAGATGAGAAAAGAAGAAAACTATCTTGTTGGACGATGATTCTTTTTCTCAATTTTAAACACTTTATTGTTTTGCTTTTCTTCAATATATAATATGATGTTGTTCTTTTTTTGTTTCAAGCCCCCAGTGCGCACAGACAACTAACAGGCATGGTGTGTGTTAGCAGCTGTGTAAAACCCCAACACCTCTCAATGGCCACAAGCCAGTAGTATGTTAAGAGAGGTAGGGGACCGCTGCCTTTTCAAGCAAGTGGGGTGCAGTTCTTTATTGAACAAAAGTTTGTTTTCAAATAAGTTTTACTTCCTCAAAGTGTTCTTAAAACAAATTCCTAGGGGGAAATGGCGAGGAAAAGTAATTTTTGAGAAGTACATTTACTAAGTTTCCTAAACTTTGAGCACAATTATGATCGCGGTAATTCACGTTACATACATGTTACTTTATACTTTCTAAAGGGCGTGGTATACACCATTAAGGCCTTGTAAAATGCGGGGGCCAAGACAATAAACATTAAGGCTTGAACTTCTTCTTGCTAATGGGTATGTTGTTACAGCTGTGGTTACTACTTTACCTCAAGAACGCAGTGGCTGGGGTAGGATTTAGTGGCATCTAGTGGTGAAGTTTCAGATTGCAACCAACTGACATAAATCATCTCCCATGCCATAGCTATTGGAAGGGGAGAAACTAAGGGCGGCTACAAAACGTGAAAGGCCGTATTCTGTTAGCCAGTGTTTGGTTTGTCCGTTCGGGGCTTACTGTAGAATAACATGCCTGTTCAACATTTGGCCCGACGTACTTATTTCTACAAAAGTCGAATTATAGGAAAAAAGTTTTCCATTGCCCCTTGATATTATTATCATTATATACTATTATATCAATCATTCCCCATTGTCGGTTGGCTATTGCGCGGTTGTTGTTCGTAGTCTTCACATATATTCATCATCAGTCACTGTACTATTTATAGCTGGGTTGGTATTGTTGTTGCCTGAGCACCTTGTTTTTCTCTCTGCTCCTCTCCACCACCCACCCCTTCTACTTATTGCTGTTGGACAAGAAGCCCCCCAGAAAATTATTAGGTTTGTATGTAGTTAAAACACGTGGATTTTTCATCTACAGGTGGTAAAAATTGGGGCCCCCAGCACTCTTTCCAGTCTTTTGCGCTGGCCATCTTTCAAACCTGTGTACAGGGGGCTGCTGCCCAGCCTGGGGTAGCCTACCTTTCGTACAAGGTATTGGTGCGTTCACCAAGCAGTGGCACCCTTCCTGTTTGTAACATCCGGCATTGTGTAATACTGTGCTTACAACAACTGCTGCCCTTCCAACAATGCAAGTGCCGGCCCTGCCGTATCAGGACTGGGCTATTGACCCTCTGGGGATGCTCGGACTCCTTTATCTTCACCCTCTGTTTAGACAGGCGACAAAATGGGAGGAAGCACCATGAAAGCCAGCAGAATGGGATTCTTTTGAAAGCCTGTAGTTGTGGTTTACTGCTCATCCGACATCTTTAGCTGGGAGTTTACAGGGGCTATTAAAAAACATCATTTTAGGGAAAGAGGGGTGTTCTGGGTGAAGCTTAAATGGGATGATTTTAGGGCAGTAAACTTTTTTCACGGTCCAGTCAGTTTGACATGAAAATAGTAGGGTAACACAGGTGTTACGCAATGATACTTACATTTAAGGTTCTGGTTCAGATAAACAGGTTCAGGGTGCGGCTATTGTGCATTGTTGTCACTGGGAAGGGTTCTGCTGCATAAATGGAACCTTAAGTGTGGTCTTCTGGGTAAAAAAATGTCTATTGTCAGGCACTTAAATGCAATGGATTTCTTTCACAGCTTTAATCTTATTTTGTTTGTTATCTTGGCTCGGGATTTTCTTACTGTTGTATTTAAACTGGATTTAATGTTGTGTTTTTGTTTTAAATTGTACAAATATAATACACTTAAAAAATAAATGTGTCTACTTATACTGTATACTAATACTAATAAATGAATACTAATGAGCTGAATTAATTCAGTGGGGAGCTTTTATGACTGTTCATACTTCATATTGGACTTTTTGTTCTCTGGTGGACTTTAATGTAGCATCTCAGCTAGGTTGTTTGCAGGAAATTGCAGATGGGCAACCATCCCTGAATAATCCCTTACCTTCGAGGCTTGTAGGAGAAAATAAGAAGTCTTATCTAGTGCAGTGATTTGTTTGTGGAAACATTACAGGGAGGATCCGCTTCCCTGCTGTAGAGATAAAAAACGTCTCATTCTAAGGTAACAAGAAAAGTATACAGCAACATTCTCTAACTCCATATTTTTCTCTTATATGAGGAAAATATTAAGAAAAATATTGCTATTAGCAATGATAACGCCCTTTTAGGATACTTATCAAAAAGGCCCAGAAATCTGGCAAATGCTCGTTCCATAACAAATTAAGACGTAAACAACAAGGTAAAGAAGAACACAAAACAGAAAGAAAAGTGCCAAACACTCCAGTCAGTGTGATTAACATCAATCATTTTATGGAAGGTGTACAGGTTGGTTTGGGTTTCCAGTTTCACAACATTCCAGCATTGATGAAAAAACAAAGGACATGCAACAAGTAAGTGACATGATCAATAAGGGTGTGAGTAAGGGCATGGCCTGTATGTCAACAGGTTACCTCCCTGTTTTTCCCTACACAAAAAAAGAAAAGGTCCCAAACACTCCCAGGTCAAATTTGATTGATTAACATTTAAAAAATTTGTCATTGTAAGTACAAGGTACAAACAACGAAATGCCAGTTAGCATTCAACCAGAAGTGCAAATAGTGAAAAGTGCAATTACAAAGGGTACAGAAATATGTAAAGAAAAAGTAATAATAACATTATAGATATAAGAATGAATATGCTGGCAAGATATTTACATTATAAACAGAATAAATATAACGGCAATAAATTAAGATATTTACAGTATGAGTTCAGGGGGGTGGGGGGGTCTCCTCAACCCAGAGTTTAGCAGACTGACAGCCTGCTAGTTCGGGAACAGAGAGACCTGTAGCGCCTCCCAGAGGGGAGGAGGGCAAACAGTTTGTGTCCTGGGTGGGAGGTGTCCCTAGCAATGCTGCGCGCCTTCTTGAGTTTCCTCAAGAAGAAGAGACGCTGGTGAGCCTTTTTAATCAGGGTTGAGGTGTTCAGGGTCCAAGAGAGGTCCTCAGAGATGTGGACACCCAGAAACTTGAAGTTGGGGACACGCTCTACGGATGGGGGTGTGTGCGCCCACAATGTCCACAATGATCTCTTTGGTCTTCTTGGAGTTGATGGCCAGGTTGTTGTTGGCGCACCAGGTCACCAGGTGCTGGACCTGTAGTCCGACTCATCGTCAGCGATGAGGCCAATCACCATTGTGTCGTAAGCACATAGCCCTGTGGGACACCGGTGTTCAAGGTTAGGGTTAAGGAGGTAAATGGATGGTAAATGGACCTGTACTTGTATAGCGCCTTTCACTCCACTCAAAGCACTTTTACACTACATGGCACATTCGCCCTTTTCCACAACATTCATCAGTGAGGGAAAGCCTATCAAACAGAAACTCATTCATACAGATTCAACAGAATATCCTGACTGTGTTAAATATGTAAATAATAATTGTGTAACATAAATATGTAAATAATTAACTGACTAAACATTGTAAATACATTTCTAGTAAATTAACTTCTGAGCCTTACAACTTTCAAATATGAATTAACTCCACTTCTAAACCTTACACTTACAACATAATTGCCTGCACTCTCTACTCAATGTCATACACACTGGATGCCTTCTTAAAAATAATAATACTATTGCAGGCGGATTATATTATTTTTTCGGGGTTAGGGTCGGAGGAAGGAGGGTGGTGGGCCTCAACTCAGGGCCTAGTCCTCTGCTCTAGATCAAAATTAATGTTAAAGGTTAAATTAACAGCATAACCGTCTGGCCAAATTTAGTGGTCCTGCTCTGAAGGACATTTATTTGTTTGTTTGTTTGCTTTTTCAGTTCACCTCTCAGCTCTCCCACACTCTGGTCTTGGATCTAATAGACAATGAGGGCAATGAGACCAAGCAGCAAAGGAGCCACACTCAGTTTGACAGTCCTGGCTGAATTACAGCAGCTGCTTCCACAACATTTGGGTGCACTGGTAAACTTAAGATGGATCATTATCATTACAGGTTTTCAACATTTCTCATTGTCCTGTGCAGATATAAATGTCACTTTCCTTTATGAATATTAATACACATTCTTCTTCCTTTACTTACCAGGAACACCTTGACTCTTGCAGCTACTTGTGTTACATCAGTGAACGAATGCACTGAGCTTATAAAAGCCAAAGTTGTATGAAAATGTCTGATTGCAGAATGAGGGCGACACAGACAGATTTCTTCCTAAGTAGTCTAGATGTTAAAGTGCAATTTGTGAATGTTAATGAAGAAGATAGACAGAGCAAACAATCTTAGTCAGAAATATCATTAACAATTAAGCTGGGAATGAAATGAGTAATTAATTCCTACACTTTTTACTCGTACCCAGTATAATAGCACAATGTTCACTGGATTGACAGTTAATGTTGCTGCCACACTAAACAACTCCTTCTCAAATTAGTAATTTGTGCTCACGCAATTATTAATGTTGATAATTAATATAATGCCCTAAAGAAGTACTCACACACCACCATCTATGTTGCTGATTTGGTGAAACTAGATCATATTTTATCTTCCTTCCAACATTTTGATGCGATTGTTTGGTTAGAAATGCCAAGGAGAGAAGCAATTTCCAAAAAGAGTTGTTAACACTTAACAAGTTCCACTGTTTAATGTTTAGGAGGATCTATTGGCATTAATTGAATATTATATTCATAGGTACGATTTCATTAGTGTATAATCACCTGAAAATAAAAATTTTGTTTTGTGACGTTAAAATGAGCTGCTTTTATCTACAGAGGGACCAGGCAGTCTTCTGATGAT